TATTATAGATTTCGGGTAAATTTTTCCGGAAATGGCCGTAGAAGGCGTGTCGAAAGGCAAAATTCTATATCAAAACGAAGCCTATTCTTGTTAAATGACGCAAAAGAAGAAAATAAGGGAGGTGACGTGTCTCGCCAAATTTCGTAGTGATTACGGTGTGACTCCTCCTCCGCTCGCTATTGGCTTTGAACGGTTGAGCTCCGCCAATAGCGCCGCGTCATTCCCCACTCGCTTCTATGATACAACAATTACGTTTTTCTTAATCGAGAAAACGTTTCATATTTTCAAAGAAAAGCCTACTACATTTAAGCTATGTTACTTATACATACACACCAAACACAATACTGCACGTTTGCAGAGAAACTTAAACAGGTGTGTTTGTTGGACAAGTTTTTCGAACGTATACTTTTCCTTTTTTCATTATAACTGGGAAAAGTCGCGAGTCCATTCGGTCGTGTGGCATAGTGAGCACGTCGCCTACGCGGTAGCGTCAAGCTTCTTACGTTAAGACTGAGCGAATGCTGAGTTCTGACTCAGTTCGTGGTTCGCCCGTGACACACGTCACTCGCATTACGGGTCGCTACGTCTGTAAACCGCGACACGCGAAAACTGCCGCCCGCCCATCCAGTGCGTGTACACTAAATATTTTTAAAACACTTTCTACAAACTAAAAACATTCGTGGCACGACGTAAATAATTACGAACCGATTTATAATAAAAACTGTATTAAATAAGTAGTGAGAATTAAAAAAAAAAACTTTATCGTGTTTTGTAATTAAATATGTTTGGAAGAATAATGAACCCTTACCCTTGGATACTGAAGTAAGAAGCACACTATAATCAATCTTCGTACTGAGTTAATAAAAAGTGGGTAAGTAGTAACCATAAACACTTCAATAGATTTGAAATAGCACTTCAAACATTTTACGAGGTAGTTACGTACGATTATTGCACTATGAAACGTTATAGTTTTAAATATAAAAGGAAAGACGCTGCCGAGACCAGCAATACATTTTAGCTGTGGTTATGTATTTATTACCTAATAAATACTTTATTTATAATACTTTTGTCTCTACGCTTGACAGTTTAAGAATAAAATTATTAGTAAATATAGAAAATAATGTAATGACTTGTTTTTAATTAAAATAATGTTGATTGATTGAATGTCGATTTGAAAAGAATTAACAGTAGAAAATTTATTAACTAATAACCATGAGATATATGAAGTTTATTTTGAGTAGGTATATCCATCTAATGTAGAGTTGTAGATTTATAAATATAACAATAAAAAAAACCATCCAAAGCTAATTAATAATATATAAAAGTATTAAACTATTAATATCACTCCGAAAATAATATAAATTCCGAGGAATGGAATTGATTTATACCGGAAACAGTCAGTAAAGTTTCTTTATCTGTGGGGTTTGATTTTATGTTTTTAATTTGTTGTATAGTTTCTAAATTTTATATAAATTTTTCAACATAGAAGAATAATTATAGCAGTATTTTTAAAATTATGACTTTGTTTTTAAGGTTTAAAAAAACAAGCCAAATGATAAAAGTGAAGGATGATTCAAATACCGCAAACTATTAGGAAGTTTAAAATTTTTGCTTATAGTACATAGCCCCATAGTTTATTGTAGTTTTGATATCTTGCACTAGTCCGTTTTTATTTTTTTTTACCGTCGCGTCATCTCCTTTTTTCATTACGCTCGTACCATGACTCTACAAACAGGAAAATTTCAAATAATCACAAAAATTACAAACGGTGCTCAATATTAACGACGTGTAGGTACCGTAATAATATAAATACCGTAATAGAACGTACGGTGCGATTTTGTTCAATTTGTACGTTTCTGGAAATTTAAACAAGGTGTTTCATGTACGACAGGAGGCTCCACAGTAAAAGAGACGCCATAATCATTATAGTGTTTCTTTTCTAGTCTTCCATTATAGTAAAATGGAAGAAGGCTTTACCTCATACCTCGGCAAAGTTTCAACTTCTCGCATTGCTTTACAACCTTTACTTAGTGCCAAACGATATTCATTTATTTGAGTTAAGTTAGGGAAAAAAGAGCCTCAGAAAATGGATACCGTACTATGTTATGCTACCGTATGCTATGTCGTATGGATGCTTGCTGAAGAATAACAGACAATTATCATCGCAGCGTCGAAGAATTTCTTGAATCAGTGCACTGGTGAGAGGATTCTGTATCCAGCTGTATGAAAAGTAATTTCTGTATGATCTTCCGAAACATTCGTCACAATGGCAACCAAACAACGTCCCAAACGCAAATTCAGTCAAAAGAAGCTGCTTGTCACTAAATGGTGGACCTGATCCAGCCACTACTGCAGAGGCTGTCAATAATCTATATCTATATTATATATAATAAACCTGTAGAAAAATAATGTGTTCACGATTCACGAAAAAAGTAACTGGACGGATTTCCATGAAAAATTGTATGTGGGCAGTAAATGACCGTGTATAACATATAGGCATCTGTCTATCTCCTTACGGAAGAGTAAAAAAAAAAGGTTACGTTTTTCCTTTTTTTATTATCATTATGGCTGCTGGTGGTTCTAATAGTTTTAAAGAGGATTAAGCTGTACGTGTAATAAATCTATAGAAAAGTGTGTGTGTGTGTGTGAAAATGAAACTCATCGCGCCACCAACCAGAAAGGGTAGAATAAAATCTGCCGGGACAGCTAGTTACAGCTAAGATTAGATAAGTTTGCTATCAAATAACCGATATTTGTCAGTTGCTCTCGTCTCGTACATGACACATATACTGTATCTACTTTTCTATTGAATACTATACGTTTCTACAGTAGTCGATATACTTTCTTTCTGCGGATTTTGCAAGTTTTCTTCAATTAGGCTATAAAAACCGCCTTTAAAGAATTGTATAGAATTAGGGGCCTTAGGTGCGTTTCCGATTGAGATCTTGGGAACATTTACTGCGTTGATGGCGACTACTGGTTTCAACCATTGAGAGTCCGGCATAACCTTTTCTCGTAAAGATATTTCATAACCACAGTTTAGTAAATTATTTCTATTTAATGGTTGTTTTGAAGTAATAAGACTAAAACATTAAGTTGTGTTACTTACTTCTATGTAAGTCTGATCATTTACGCTTATGACAACTGGCAAAAAATGTTAATTTTTTAATTTTATTGTTACAATCAGATTAAAGAAATAACATTATTAAAATTTAATTTTAAAATCACTTTTTTGTCCGTGGAATCGATAATATAGGTTACAGTTTACAATGCTATGAATAATCAAGTGATTCATATTATAATGTTAATATAACAACTATTGCGTTCATCATCATGATCATAAATAGAGCTATTTACAAGTCCACTGCTCAATATAGCCCATCCTCAGGTAATGCCATAAAACATCGCTGGTGAGCCACTTGCATCCATCGATTTTTTTAGGTCGTCACTTCGTCTAGTGGTGGGCTGCTTTACATTCCGTTAGCCGGTTCGAGGCTGCCAGTCTAGATACTTTCTTCCCCATCGGTTGTCGGTTCATCGCATTATTTGGCCGGTTCATTGCCACTTCACCTTACTGATCCGTTGGTCTATGTCGGTTACGGTTTTATATAATAAAATATATTCTTCTTACTCTATCATCTTATCTATTTCACGTTTATACATTAAATTCTTACGATTTGAGTGGTGGCTTTGCGGATGCTGAAGGGAGGGCATAGACAACAGAGTAGCAAATAGCAGCAAAAATGTATAGTGGGTGACGACAATCGGTTAACGTTTTTATTGGTAACATTTTATTTAAGTTTTTAGTGTAAATCAATAAAAAATTTATTATCTAGTGGCTAATGTTTTAAAATACAACGTATAAAATACTTTACACAGTCAGAAAAAGTTAGGGCTAAGGAAGCTGCCTGTTTTTTTTTGGTAGTTTTCTTGGAAACAACATTAGAAATGTCATTTTGGAACGCTCAATAAAACTTGAATTTATGCCTTGGTATCGAATACTGGGTACTACGGGTTAAATACCTACAAGGAATAAGTTGATATAATAATTGTTTTTGGGTCTGAACACGATACTAACATTATTGAATTTATCTACGTTATACGTCTCCAAGATACACTTGTGTAGAATATTAAACTTCTTTAATATTTTGCAAATTCGTCCACGTTTGCAGTGCCTTCCTACATCATCATTTTCATATTGAAAAAGGAATGTATTTTATTGATAAAATATATATTTTAGTACAAAAGGGAACTTAATGTCAAAATGACTTCCTTTGCTAGCTTAGTGTTGGTAGTGTGGCGAGAGGCTGTGAGTAGAGTTGTAGTAAATGCGTCCATATTTTTTGTATACTTTTTGTGTAACAAACACATATTCTATAATTATAACTGATGTCATCGAGTAAAAAATATGAATAAAAAAATATAAAGTTTAAAAAAGTGCATGTGTTAAAATGTGTTAAAAAATGAATATAGAGTCTAGGCAGCTCGGGGATAAGGTTTCGTCTTAAAGACCTTATATACACAGTATGTGAGCAGCCCGAGCTCGATGAAACGAATTTGATAATAGCAATTTTAAGAGCCAATTTACCCCAAATTCAGCGATGCAGGCAAATACTGTGGGGGAGGGAATCTCGTATATTATAAAACTAAAATATATATATATATATATATATTTGGAGGACACGTTAAGTTCACTAATATGCAATAAGGCACCGTGGTGGACTTCTTTCTACTCCAAAAACCCAGAAATTACAGGATGTCTGTGTTCAACTGTCGGACTTATATGGGTTGTTACTTTAAATTTTACTTTTAAATGTAAATGTTATTTTTTATGCAAACGTATAAGGTGTGTAAAACTTGAGAGATTTATTGTTTATTTTCAAAATACAATGATACTGTTGTCAACAGTGGCCCGAAGTGCCGATGGAGCGGGGCTCCATCGGGGATGCGAGGAGGACGTCACACGGCTGACTCCTGGCCTGCAGCCCGACACCTTCGACATGAACGATCTCCCCCCCTCTGCGTACACAACGGACACGCGCAGAATGCAACTGTACTCGCACACACACATCCATCCCACGGTGAGTCAGTACCCTTTATTTGCCCCGCTTTCTGTACCAAACTTGACGAATATGGTATAGTGTGAACGCATTATTTTTCATGACATTTATGAAAGTACCTATATTTGTACACTGATGTAATATTAGTACTGTTCGACGGCAGGTAGGTAAGTAACCCAATCGCCGATTTTAAGTCTACGTACAATATATGTCAGAATGCTGCGGCTCGGTGCCAACATGCTGTACTCCTATCGTTAACGGAATTTGTTAAATTACATTACGATTTGAAGTTTTGTGCAATAACTCACTCAGAATTTCGTCTCTTATTTGTGCAATTACCTACTTATTCTAATAGTATAATACCTAAAAAATTGAATTATGTATTATAACACTATTATAGGCCATTCTTATCTCTACGAAGACTCTGAGTATTTAGTGTTCATTCTTGTAATTGAAGCGTTGACATACGATCAGTATGATATAGTGGCTCAAAATGTCACCTTACAGAACATTTTGTTCACAATTCTGTTTTGAATCTTTGTGATCAAAGAAAAACTAGATGCATTATAAAAAGATTGTTCATCAGTTGGAGAACTTAAAGTGCCAATGTAATCGAAGTCATAACAAACTAATAAGCTTCCTATAACTCTCTACACAACAAATACGTATATAAACCATAAAAGCTTTAACAATAAAAAGCAAAAATATGGCGTCGAAAAGATGAAATATTGGTTAAGGCACGAAATAAAGAATATTTTAAAGGTACAGCGTCTACGACGGCTGGAGTTGAGTTACAGTGGCAACAAATGACCATTCGCCTCGTACCGTGCATTTCACACGGGAGAATTTGATTGAATTTTTGTTTTATCTCATATAGAAAACTATACTCGTCTATAGCTTATCAATAAATAAGTTACATACTTATTCGCAGCTATTAGAAAGGGTAAAAACCATTATTTTTACACGCATTATATTAGCTGTTTGTATATTTGATATATCATCATCATCATCATCATTACAGCCCTTCATAAGTCCACTGCTGAACATAGGCCTCCCCCAAGGAATGCCACAAAGTACGGTCCTGAGCCACCTGCATCCATCGAATTCCTGCATATATTACCAGGTCGTCAATCCATCTAGTGGGGGGACGCCCTACACTTCGTCGGCCGGTACGCCACTCGTGAACCTTTTCCTCCATCGGTTGTCGGTTGTTCGAACTATATGACCGGCCCATTGCCACTTCAGCTTACTAATCCGTTGGGCTATGTCGGTCACTCTGGTTCTACTGCGGATATCCTAATTTCTAAGTTTATCACGCAGAGAAACTCCTAGCATAGCCCTCTCCATAGCTCGCTGAGCGATCTTGAGCTTCTTTACACGGCCAGCAGTGAAGGACTACGTCTCAGTTCCATAGGTCATCACTGGCAACACGCACTGATTGTACAGTCCCGTTTTCAAGTTTTGAGGTATATTTGACGAGAAGATGTGGCGTAATTTCCCGAACGCTGCTCAACCGAGTTGAATCCGTCAATGTTTGATATAATGGAATATCATAATTCAGTTTTCACCCACTTGTAGACGTCTGATTAATCTGAATTTATGTAGACGTATTAAGAACCGATGACACATACAATATTTATGACTGATACAATAAATTCATAACTTTGAACTAGTATTCTCACTAGAATCAGCGCAATCACAATGCGTATTGTTTAAGTTTTTTAAACTCTTATTTCATTTTGGATATCGTTTTTAGATTAGTGTATGCAAAGAAATTTGTAAGTCAAATTGTCAATAATCTATGTTTCGGTATTGTTTATAAAATACGATACTTTTTGATTTCTTACTTTTCTTGATTTGTAATTTGATGGTAAATCACATGATACGGGGTCAATTATAACACTATTCATACATTGAAACATTGCAGCAATGTGTTATGGCTGCAGTATGAATGGGTCGGCTCGACCGGTGACGAACTACGCTCACACAAAATAACAGTATTAACAGTGAGTGACGAGAACCGTTTACCTAATTTACTGGTAAAGAGATATTTTTTCTTAGTCCTCAGGAGTGACAAGGCATATGCATTTTAATTCTTAATTGAGGATAGACGAAGTTTCAATGGGCCACAACATTCATTTACCAACCAACAAGAAAAATCTGACCCTGGACTTCGAACCATGGATCTACAGCATGGTAGTACAATGCGATACCGATCAAGAGGATCGTTATGCGTCAAATAAGTTTATGTGAACAAAATATCAGCTGTAGGCAATCGTCGTATAGCGACATGGGTTTCCAAATAACGTGAGGTATATCGCCAGTGTGAGGGTTATAAAATATTTGCTCTACTAATATACATACCTATCAAGAGTCTACTGCTAAACAAGCTTTCCCCATAAATTGCATTATAGAGGAGATATTTGCTGTGTAGGGCGGCGTAAAAGGATCCACTATATCATGTGTACCTGTATTTTTTTTTATAGGATAGGGTGACAAACGAGCACACAGTCCACCTGATGGTAAGTGGTTGCTGTGGCCCATAGACATCTACATCTATCCTTGTTTGCGAATCAAAATGTAGATGCGTTGTCACCCGTGAGGACTAAGATGGAATGCCTCTTTTCCAGTAAAAAGGGTCTCCGGTTCTCTACACTCACCATACGAAACACAGCAGTGTTAAGCTGCTATTTTGCGCTGTTATTCTGTGAGAGCGTGGTCCTTCCCCGGACGAGCTGACCCATTCGTGCTACAACTATACTACTAATATAGCTACAGCATGGCTCTACCACGTAAACTATAACTGTATGTGCTGTAATCTTTATTATACGAGTTAAAAATAATAAAAAATTGCTGCTGCCACCCGCCTGCCAATCGTGGCAACAAAGGCAAATTTCCCCTCTATGCCAATATATATTTAAATGCTATTTACCATGATCTTTATGACGTTTACTCGCTGAGAGTTATAGAAGCACGATAACGCAACACTGAACTCTGCTATCGAGTCGTCTCAGTGTCAGTTACATCATCGACCTTGTTTGTTTGACTTTCTCATAATTCAAATATTCATAAATAAGCTGTGAATTAAAATATTACCTGACATAGGTATACGCACTGATACCTACCTGTTACTTATTTATTTTATTCATTCTTTTCAGGTGTGATGTTATACAGAATTGCTTTTTAATAACATTTTAATTTGCAAAAGAATGGATACATGTATAGCTTCGTTTTAATAAAAATATATGATATGAATATATAATGATACATATAACGTTTCATATAAAGCAATTTTTTTTAAATTTTCTTGAATAGTCTTATAATAGTATAATAATAGTAGTAATATTCTAAATTAATTTCAAGTATTTAAGCGCCGAGTTAAGTTTTATCGCGCGTCCCTGACACAAGTTCATCGTCGACCGAACAACTGATTGTCAATAAGATATCATGTAATTAAAATTATGTCGCCTTAAAAATATGATGAAATATCTATGTCACTTTTAATATTGCTTTGGGAAAGTGTGGTATAGCACGAAACCACGTGCATAAAATACGCTATGGATACTCGCTTTAGCCACTCGATGCAACAGATAAAAATATGGCAGCATGCTACTCCGTTTCCATCACTTACAGCCGGTGAATCTTTTCAAATGATTAAAAATTTTTCAGAGTTTGAAGCGCAGTGTTTGTATTTGTTTACTGTGGGCCGTGGATCGACGGAATCCCGTACGGAACAAGTAATTCGAGTCTGTCATACAAGTGCAATATAAAACATACCTACTCTTCACGATACTACAGAAATCGTAACGTTGCTAAGAACATAGTTATTTTATATAAAAAAGAATAAATGAAATGGAAAGAAATTCTGACGTATATTAAGGTTTATTTTTTATTTATTTAATCTTTATTGTGCCTAACAAACAGTACAGAAACATAAGGCGGACTTAACGCTAAAAGCATTCTCTGCCAGTCAACCTTAGAGCAGTGATAAAACCTGATGGTGATGTGACCTATAAAGGAACTAAGACTGACACCTTTATATGTAAAGCATGTAAGATAAAATTTAATAAACAAGGAAAAGGAAGAAGTAACTATCGTATCTTACAGCTAGCCTTTGCCCACTCCGGAATGTTTATTTACCTCTATATATAGATTTATGTCTCAACATATTCTCACCTCAATCTCATAAATATATACATGTAAATACTTAAAAAATTAAGAATACGTTATTTATTTATCATATTTAATCAAAACATACTGTGCACAACAAAGTACAAAAAAGTAAGTCTGTGTACAAAATAGCAGATTGTGTTAATTATGTGTATGTTTTTACTATCTGTATCAAAGTATATCTAGAGTACGTAAGGGTAATATAGTCATCCGGTTAATATGGTCACTTTCATATAACTCAAAAACTACATCCTAATTTGCATAGATGGCTTTGTAATACGATAGCTCTTGACCAGTCATTTAAATAATAAAGGGTCAAAAGGCCGCCGCTTAATCGACGCCATTTTGACAGTTGATATTATAGTAAGTACGTGAGGGTAATATGGTCACCTTAAGCTTTATCGCCCAATAAAACCAAAATTAGGAGGAGAACAGAGGCAAAAACATAATGTCGTATACTATAACTAATATATTACGAAAAAAAAAATAGCAAACAAGCGTTGGAAATTATTAGGAACACTTCGAAAAATCTACTTAAAAAAACTAACTACACTACACAATACAAAAATCGACTAAAATATTTACAATATAAACTGTCAAAATAGCGTCGATAAAGGAGCGCCTTTTTGACCCTTTATTATTTGACAGACTGATCAAGAGCTATCGTATCACAGAGCTTTCTATGCAAAAGACGCTGTAGTTTTTGAGTTATAAGAAAGTGACCATATTAACTGGATGACCATATTACCCTCACGTACTCTAGATACACTTTGATACAGATAGTAAAAACATACACATCACTAACACAATCTGTTTTTTTGTACACAGATTTACTTTTTAGTAAATAGTTA